AACCTAAATCAAACCATTTTGAAACGGTTTGGTTCGGTTTGAAGGAAAATAAATCGCGGGTCCACGTGGACCCGAACCAATGGTTTCAAACTAATGATTTCGGTTCAGTTTGCAGTTTCGCAATTTTTTTGTGCAACCCTAACTCACGTATTAACTATGGCTAAATCAAATTTTAAGTTTTAAAATTCAAAACTCTGGTGATAAATAAATAGTTAAATATATTTTATTAATTAAATATATTTAGGTCACAATTATACAATTAATGGTCACATATACATACTTATGTGTTACAACTTATTTATTGGTCACATATTATCAAATTAATTAGTTATGGATTATTTCTTGATCACAAATCAAAAAAATTACAGATCACAAATTATTTTACGGTCACAAATCAAAAATCTCATAAGTCACAATTTGTTCATCGGTCACAAGTCAAAAAATTAATTGGTCACAGTTTATTTATTGGTCACAAATCAAATTGTATGTCCCGACTTATTTCACGATCAAAAATTATCAAATTAATTTGTCACAAATTATTTTTTGGTTCACACGTTATTTTCCAATCACAAATCATCGAATTATTTGGTCACAATTTACCAAATTCTCGTTACGATTCCAAATTTAGTCACTATAACACATTCTTTTAGGTCACAAATTAATCAATGGTCACAATTCCCGAATAATGATCACACTTTTCCTCTCCACTCCACCGCCTTCGCCATCACCACCACAAACTTTGTCACTGCCACCCCTTCCAAAACCACAACCACAACCACACCCCACCACAACAATCGCAAAAAAGACATCACCAAAGCAGCTATTGGCCACACAAACCACCATAACAATCGGAGAAATCAAACTCAGAAATTTAAAAAAAGAAAGAAAAGGAAATAACATATCCGCGCCGTTGTGGATCAACCACTGTCAGATTAGAAGCAACGACAATTGGCTACTGCCGTCGCCGAGCACCATATCGCGATATCACGACGACACTAGAGTCTTTTCCTAGATTGCCTTTTTCATAGATTGTACAAAATCGCCTTTTGTTTCGATGTGCAGGGGCCACATCGCCTTTGAAGTGGTTGCACCAACGTCGTTACTACATTTGACTCCGTTGACATTTCAATGCGTTGATAGTCGCGGGTGACAGTGCTGAGTGCCTAGTACTAAGGAGCGCTGGTGCTGCGTCGTGAATAATAGCCGGAGTGGGTGCACTATCAAGAGTTGTCGGAGTAGTTGCGCTGTCAAGAGTCGTCGGGCGTGAACTATGGATTGAAAATGATTTATTGGGTAGGGGTGCATGGGTTTGGTAGGTGGGGAAATGTAAATTTATTTACTTTTATAATATTGTTATTGTATATTAATTACCTGATTTTTTTTCTTAATTTAACTCCTCACCCGATTTAAGAACAATGATCTTTATGGTGGGATGTAATTTCCACGAGAATGAAATCGAAATTTGACGTCTGGGCCTTACACATGCTCATCAGCCTAATGAGAACTACATCTTGGTTAAAAGGCCCATAACAGAACAAAAAGTTTGGGCCTTTACTACTTATAGCCCACCTTCCGGTAAGACAACGTCGCTACTGTTCACATGCAACAATTGTAGACTGGTAGTTTCCAAATCATTTTCAAACTAATTCATGATCAAAATATTTCTCCTTTTTTTTTATTATTTTCTTTCTTTCTTTTTTTTTTTTTTTGGATAATTGAACTCATATTTTCTCACAATTCCCCTGATTCATTTTTTTATTTGTTAAATTTATAGCAATGTCCTCGGATTCCGGTTCCGACAACGATGATCGAAACCCGAACGCGATCCTGACTCCGAATACGGGTTCAATGGATCTTTCGCTGGATGCAATAAAGAATCAGTTGGAATCAATATCAATTACATCCCAGGTCGAGATGAGATCATTTGATCAAGAAGAAGAGCAACTAATGTTTACCAATGGACTGTTGAATGAAGAAAGTGGATCAAAAGTAGTGGATGAATTCGAAGGGGAGCTAAGCAATAGTGATTTTACGGCGGAATCGTCTTCTAGGGTGATTATGAGCTCGTCGTCAGTTTGGAAGTACGATACTTTAGAGGCGGAAGAAGTGGAGGCACCTTTTAGTCCGAGTAGCAGCGGGTATGCAGGCGAGAGAGGGAGTGTTGGGATTGAATCCCACATCGCCTGTGGATGTTGGGCTTGCATATAAGCAATGTGGCAAACCTATCTTGCAGGGAGGAAATTACACTAAACCAGCTGTTTAGTTTTAACTTTTAAAAAATCAGATTTTTACTTTATTTAATCAAAAATCAGGTTTTAATTTCACAATTAATATTAATAATAATATTTTTAAATTAAATTAAATATATACCCACCCTACTACCTACCCACCAACTTTATTTAAATA